AACTCCATCTCAGCCAGACCCAATACAATGAGATTGGCAGGCTTGTCCTGACTCTTTTTCAGTCTATTCCAACTAGAAATTTGGTTTTGAGTCAGAACTGCGATTCATCATATACAAGACCACAAGGAATAATTCTCTGGTCCTGGCTTATGGAGGTGACAGCAGAACAACAACATCTTTTACTGAGTTCCTACAAAAGAAAACCTGATAGCAAATTACTGTGTTAATTTCTCTTGTAAGCAATGCATCAATAATGTAAAGGCATTTAAATCCATAGACAGTTCTACCTCTCTCTGCTTATCCAACTCCTGAACACTTTCTGTTTACAGAATTTTCCTGCCTTATCCTGTCTGTGAAGAAAACTTGCGCTGGAAGTTTGATCTGACAGGTTTAGCAAAAAGCATGCATGCTGATGTTTTTACTTGTGCAGCATGGCAGGTCCAAAGAATTACTGAGATTATTAACCTGGAAATAGGTGCTCAGGTGTGCTGGGCTTCTTGATACGTGGCAATGTTCTAAGTGGTGTTCATGAGCTTTTATTGTTGGGGAATCAACAGTCCTAGGTCAGAAAGAAATCTGCTTGGTCCAAAAGTGAGCAGCAGGTGTGGAAAGGAGATGGTAAGGAGATGTGTGTTATTGTTTGTCAAAATGGACCTGAAACTGCACGGTTTACACATTCTGTTATGTGAGGCTATATCTGCTGTAGTTGAAATATATTTATTTGTGTGGTCGGTTGGTTGGTTTGTTTGTGTTGGTTGGTTTGGTTTTTTGTTCTGGTTTGGGGGTTTTTTGTTTGTTTTCCAGAAGCTTTCTGTGCTTTGGAATTCACTTTGGAATTACCTGCTTTTTAAAAAGGATGGGTTTTTGCTACTAGTTCCTTTCAGCCAAATTTCTTGATGCACGTGCAAATAATCTATTAAGTTTCACAACACAGCTGTGAAAAAGGATTTATACTGTTCTTGTACTTAACAAGTTAGAGAAGACAGAAAGGGGAATCCAGGCTGGGGAATGCAGTCAGAAGTTTCATTAGCAGCATTAAAGAATGTAATACTGCACTAGTGTTTTATTTTTCATCTGGCATTTGCTGCTCTGAACTTCTTGGCTGAGGCTTCCAAAAATTTATATAGGAGCAATTACGTGTGAAATAAGGGTAGTCAGTGAAGGGAGAACTCCTCCTGCTTCCGCACAGTGGCAACAGCCGTTTTGATGCATCCCCCAAAACATCAGCTTTGCCAGTTATGTGTGAGGATTAGGTACTGAATATGCACGTGAACATAAATCTTTTGATCAAATTAACAACGCTACCTAAAATTTCAGTAATTCTTTCTTCATTGTGATGCAGAGTGATGTTCTCCTTGTTCTGTTAAGAACAGCTCAGATTTTGACACAGCCTAATGTTCTTGACAGTTTCGTTAAAAATAGGGGCAAATGAAAGTAGCATCGCTCTCCCATAGTAATTTAAATGGAAATAGCAAATGTGAAATTTGTGGGTGTTGGTATTGGGACTAAAGCTGCTGCTCCACGTGTTTGATGGCATATACATAAAGGCAAATCCATTTTCTGTGAATTTTGAAAGTTCCTCCTGTAGATGAAAGAGGCCTTTTACCAGCTGACTGTATTCCAAGGCTCATAACGAATATTGGATAGTTCATTTGCAAAGAAACAAATTTTCAGTAAATAACTATATACGGTGTCCTGCAGTATTGCTAGCAGGATTTTGTTTGGAGCAGCACCGCTCTTTGGGCTGCATACAGTGAATCTTGGCCAGTTGTAGAAAACTCTTGTAAAAAGAGGTTTGTTTTGAGCTGTATCATGCTGCAAACTAGTAACAAAACTGGTCCTAAATGCAATTTTATTGGCGAGGGGAGAGGCGGTGTGTGGCGGTGGCAGCTGCTCAGCTCTCTGCAGCTCTCCGGGTGTGTTGGTGGGAAGTGGACCCTGCGCCAGGAGTCTGCACTCTGGCCCTGCATGGGAGCCTCCTTCCTTGCCGTAACCTGGCCGCTTTTGGGTGGTGGCTAAATGTCAGAACGGCTGAGAGGGGCAGAGTGGGTTCAGGCAGGAGAGCGCGAGTTGCTTTGTGGTGGAGCGCGCAGAGGAGAGAAGCGGAAAGGCGGTGGGTTGGGAAGGATAAAGGCGGGGGGAAGGGGATCTGGTTTTCCCATGAGGAGACTGAAGGATGACAAGGTGCTTCCCATTTACATGGCTAGATTAGGCTGCTAATCAGCTGGCTTTTACTGATAGCAGTGGAAGATGCCTGGTGGATCACAGTAGTCCTGAAAGAACCCTGTCTCAAACTCATATATGCAGCCATTGAATTCGGCATCCTTATTGAGGTGTTACCCATCTTGTCGCTTTGTCCCGAGGAGAAAGCTGTCCCTGTGGTTTATACTGGAGTAACATCAGGTTCTTGCCTGCCAAAGGCAGGTCTTGGAATGAGAGAGCTTTCCAATCTGTGTAGCTTGTGAACTTCGGTGGGGGAGGAAGCAGCTGATCACAAATGGTTCCTTGCTTGACTGCTTCGGGAATTACTGGTGTTCTGCAGTCATTGGTATTGCGTGTGTTATAAATGCTTCTCGTAGTTGATTCTGTAGGGAACTGTTGACAATATACGTCTTACTGTGTTTGCTCTAAGCTGTAGGTGTTAGCATATGTTTATTTTTAAATGCATTGCTCTTTTGCGTTATCTAGTTCTGAAGCTTTCATGCTGATGTAAATGTGACTGGTTATTAATTTAGTATAAGTTGATTGGTATAAGATGCAGAAAAAGACAGTGCTCTGTGGAAATTGCAATTTCTTTGTAAATTGATGGTATTGCTGGGCAGAAGAAAAGAGTATATTCAGGAAGTGCTTAGATAACAAACTTTTGATTGCTTCTTCCCATTACCTCAGTTGCATGTCTTGTCTGGAATGATCTCGTATCTTGGCTGTGAAATGTTAGGGTTTTTGGTGGGGTTTTTTGTTTTCTCTTTTTTAATCTCTGGTGTTTAAACTGGGAAAAGCTTTTAATTAAAACTTTCACTGCACATACATAAATGGGTGAGCAATCAAACATCTTCCTTTTTCTGAGATTTGCTCAGGTGTGTCTCTTACTGTGAGGTTTCAGTTTGGGACACAGATGACACCGCCAGTTCAGATGTGACGGAGAGTTTGCTGCATCACTACCAAGCTGTCGGAAGCATGAGCCCATGTCCCTAATGCAGTACATCTGCCCATTGCTCTCCCTTCCCTTTCAGGTACAGTGCGCCGATCACGACAGCGACGGCTCGCATGACTTGATAGGCACTTTTGAAACTACCCTGACTGGGCTGCAGGAAGCAGGTGACGGCTCTCCGGTGAGCTTTCTCAATCCCCTGCTAACTTAGTCCATAATTCAGTCTTTCACAAATCCTTTTTAATATTGACCTCAGATATATTTTTAGTTGTTGCCTCCAAAAGTTAATTTTACTGTCTGTATCTTTGTGTTACTAAGCCAACATCTGGGAAGAACAAAACCTGGTGTGGGAATTACATTGCTCTGTTTTCCTTTGGTACCTTTGCCATTCCTATTCCTAAAGACATCCTTGAGCCCATTGTCTGCTGACCACCAGCTGCTTTTCCCAGCAGTTCAGCTTGCTTTTGCCTCTGCTGAGTCAAGGGGAAATAAAAGGTCTTGTTCATGCTTTAACAGATGAGTCCAGAGGTAGGGCTTGTCTCAGATGATGTTTCTGCTTGAGCTGGTCACCCTCACGAGTGCTCTGGTCACCTTTCTAGCTCACGGAGAGAAGCAGTGCTTCCATGGGGCACTCTTCTTACCTTGTCTTGGGCATCCAGTTTAGAGTATGTTGAATCATTTGCTGGTGGTGCGGGTTTCTCTCTGTTGTCTGCAATGAAAATCTGAACTTCTGTTCTTACGGAGCTGTCTTCGTCTGAATTCACACAGATGAATCTGCACACAGGACATAGCCTAGGACTGCTTCCATTCGCCAGCCAACTTGATTTCTGTGGTTGTAATCCTAAAGCTGGTGGAAGATTCTTGCTGTTTTCCATAGATAGTATGAAATCGGAACTGATGCGAGTGAAACAGAACAGTGAAACGCTGCCATTGGAACCTGTGACCTAGGCTTTTTTGCCTCCCTCACCCCGAGATTTTGCCTCCTTGTCTTCTGTTTGAGTGTGTTCCCTTCCTGTAACCGAAAAAGAACCTGATGACATGAAGAGAAATGCTCATATTTGTGATGGACTTTTTTCCCTCTGATACAACGACACTGTTCCATGATTGCATACACTGTAACAGTTACATTGCTGAGGAGAATTTTCTGCGTTCTTTCCTTGTGTGTTGCCTAGTGCTGGTAGCAAAGGCATCCAATTTAACTCACCAGATAGCAGCCAGAGTAATTGCAAACTTTTTTAAAAATGAGTTTCGGAATTCTGCCAGATATTTGGGTAATTCTGAAATTGTGTGATGTCTGACACTGTTCTATTTCAATAATTTGCCCTGCTGTAGATGCAGGTATTTTGGAACTTGCTTCTTGCATGCTTGCTTTCTGCAGGTGGAATTTGAATGCATTCATCCTGAGAAAAAACAAAAGAAAAAGAGCTACAAAAACTCTGGCATTATTAGGATAAAATCCTGCAAGGTAGGAATATTTTTGTTAGTTTTTGGCTTTTTTATTTTCTGATCATAATGAAATCTGTTCCTGTGGGGAGGAGGTGTAACACTGTCTGTCTCTTCCTCTAGATTGAGAGAGATTATTCGTTTCTGGACTACGTCATGGGAGGCTGTCAGATTAACTTCACAGTGAGTTGTTTCCCCACTGCACATCTTGGTAGATGACAAGACAAGAACAATGAAGTTGTGACTAGTTCTTTTGTTTGTAGTGTGCATGCCTGCAAATGCAGTGTGACTTTGCAGTGATGAAGACTGCAAAAACCAAATGATACTCTATTTTTACTTCTTGTGATCAAGTAGCAACTTTAATGGAACTAGGGTTAGTTCTTCTCATTTACTTACGGTGACGCATCAGTGACTTGCTGTCATCATCTTGATTGATTAGGTGGGTGTAGACTTCACTGGCTCCAACGGAGATCCCAGGTCACCAGATTCTCTTCACTACATCAGCCCAGACGGGATAAATGAGTACCTGATTGCCATCTGGAGTGTGGGAAGTGTAGTCCAGGATTATGACACGTATGTGATGATCTTAACTGATCTAGCCACTGCATCAAAAATGTGTCACAGCAGTGTCAGTGCTCAAGGCTAATAGCTTGTTCCAGAGCTGTAACGTTTGTGTGACTGAGGTGCTGCCTTTCCTCGGGAGATCCTTTCAGGAGCTGCTACTGCTTCCTCCTGCTTCTGTCACTGCCAGGGAGGGCAGTGGCAGCCCTTTGTAATTTGGCATATTTGCATGATTTGTCCCTCCAGGTCTGCCCTTCTGTGGCCCTGGGTAATGCTGCTTTAGCTGGTCACTAATCCCTCGTTGCTGGTGGTGCATTTCAAACGTGAATGCCCTGTTTGATTCAATGGGAACACATTTGTCAGCTCTGTCCTTTAGCCAGGCTGTGGTTGGGTTGGCTTTTCTCTTGCTACTTCAAAAGCTCCTGAGAGTCCTGTGGGGTGCTGTGCTGAAAGTAATTCTGAAATTGTTAAGCCCAAGCCTGCAACCCTTGGTCAACTGGTGGCTGGCTGTGGGGAGCTAGATAGCGTATGCATTCCTTGTGGCAGGAATTGAACCTTGGTCTCCAGCTGCTCTCTGGGAATGAAACAGAATAGTGAGTTACTAAAGAACTGCTCTTTCTCATTTCTTGTTGTTGCCCTTTCTCTCCAGGGACAAGCTGTTTCCTGCGTTTGGGTTTGGAGCTCAGGTTCCTCCTAGCTGGCAGGTAGGGCCTTCACAACACTGGGCAGTTGCTCTGTCTGCATCTACATTCCCTAATGGTTTGTAATGTCCCCTCTCCTAGGTGTCTCATGAGTTTGCTTTGAACTTCAATCCCAGCAACCCTTATTGTCAAGGTGAGGACACCTCTTTATTAACATTTCTCTGAGAGGGACCGATGTTTGAAGTGGTGTGTTTCTTTCAAAACCTGTGAAAAACAGATGCAGCACCAAAACATGCAGCAAACCAGATTTACTCTCCCCTGGATGCTAACAAGAGTATGTGCGTGTTGATGCAGACTTCTGTGCGATCTGTGTAAGCTCCAGTGAACAGATCTAGGTTTAACTTGATTGTGAGTCTGTGCTGAAGCTGTTGTTGCTGCAGCCTGGTTACTGCTGGTATGTTATAGGTGGCAGTGGATTGGGACCAGCAATGTGCCTGTGCTGGTCATGCTTCCAGAGCGACTGTCCGCTAAGGCTGTTAGAGACCATGGTTACTTCATCAGCAATGTGTATATGTTTGAATGTTATCCTTTAAAGGGTTGTCATAAAAGCTTATTTTCTTTACAACCATCTTCTCTAGTGGAGATTGTTTCAGCTTTTTTTAGTGGCTGCTCTCTAAACTGGATTATGACCTTTTAGGACTAAGAACTCTCTCAGCATGCAGTGACAGAATTGTTCTTGAACAAGCTTTTTAAACTCAGTTCAGTTTTTCCTCTCTGGTCTAAGGCCAACAAAAAATCGAATCTGAGATTCATGTTAAAATCCAAGCATTTCCTTCGTCAGTTCAGCATTGTCTGCCTCACTGGGATCTGTGTCTTTGCCCTTTAAGGGTCCCTGTGCAGTAGTTACCACACTAAAGCTGGCATGGTGGACAATGCAAGCAGCAGCGGCAAATGAAGGTACATTGATACTAGTCAGGAATAGGCCAGTTTGGATGGATCCACAGAAGAATATGCACCATTTAAAACCAGACTTTTAAAATAAATTTGTCTAGTTAACCTGAGAAAAGCTTCGTGCATAGAAAAAACCTTAGGGATTGCTGTTTCTGTTACAGAAATGTTTGAATCCTGAATCAGGGATCTTTGTCTAACTTTCACGCAATGATATATAAAAAGTTACTGTTCCAGAGAGCTTTTGACCTTGATGTCTAAATAGACTATAAGCAATTAACAGGGCAAATTGGATGACAAGGTAGAAAGAACAAGGTAAAGGTAGTCATTGGCATGTGTTCACTGGGCTATTTTTCCCGTGACTTCCATGAGCTTTGTGATGTTAGAGGCATGAAGAGTAATGTGAAGAATGTAGAATGGGGGATAAATCTGCAAATCCTGTCTCTGCAGATGTTCACTGGTTTCAGCCCCATGCTTTGTATTATATCTGCTGTTATCCTGCTGCTTATTTGTCCTTTAGGAGTTCACAGCTATGTGAGAGTTATTATTTGTTTGCTCTACTATTTAGTAATACTTAAAATTTCTGGAGGAGTCATGAGGCTCTTCTGGCCGCTTGCCTTCCTTGTGTTACAGGGATCCAAGGAATAGTGGATGCCTACCGCCAGATCCTTCCTCACATCCGACTCTATGGGCCAACCAATTTCTCTCCCATTATAAACCACGTGGCAAGGTTTGCAGCACACTCGGCACAACAAGGAACCGCCTCAGTGAGTGCATGTCCTTTCCTGTGGGTCTGCGTTGGGTTGAAGTTTCTGTTTTCCATATTCATGATGGGATAGAATGGAATGGTAAAGTGATGTTGTCTTCCTTCCTTAGGATCCCAAGTCTGGTTCTCTCCTACCAGCCTATGGAGAGGACACCGGTCCTCTCTTGGTACATACTGATATGAACCTGCACTTGGCAGACATTGATGCTAGTTTCCATTCCTCAAGTGATATTTATTTCTCTTTTTCATGGTTTGCTGGCATTGTATTTACTATTGAAGTATACAGGGGTGCTGTGTTGGCTTTTAGACCAGTTGGACTCTGTCAGCAGCTGCCTCACTCTAACCTCTCTTGCCAGGCTCCATCACCTGTAGGGAATGCATTCAGTATAAAGGGGCCCTATAGATTTTATTCCGCACAGTTTTACTCTCAAGAACGTACACAAAAGACCACCTCCAAGACAAATATCAGAGGGCTCGACTGTCTGTCCCACTGCGGTGGCAATCAGAATCAGGATATCTAGAGGGCCAAATTAATGAAGGAGACTGAGAACTCTTAAATCAGTGTGCTAATTGCATTGCAGAGCTTCTGTGCTACCCTACAGTTGTGCCGCATCTCTCTTTTGTGTGCTTGCATGGCCATGGCTGCTGTTAAAATTTAAGTCCATTTCTTTAAACTTCATTCCTTTTGCTTAAGGATGAAGGACTCATATTCCTGATAGACTTAACTGATTCCATTTTGACAGACCAGTCAGAAGGAATTTTGATATACTCTCTGGTTCTTGCTTTATGGTCTCGCTGTGTCAGTATTTTTGGTTCTACTTATGTTTATGTGTGTGGAATCCGTTTCCCACACTGAGGTGCTTGGTCTAGGGAGATCCATTTCTTACATTTCTGAGGGTATTTTTTATTCTTCCCAATACTTGGGGGAATCTTCTTATTTCTCTTTATATGTTAAATATCTCTATTTTTTCTTGCAGATGAATAACTATTTAAATAAAGAATCTGTCGGTAATGGGGTACAACCATAGTAACACTTATACTAACTGGATTTTGGAAATGGAAAGTCAGTTTTCTTTTCATGGGGTGTCTCTTTTTTTTTTTTTTTCATTTTAAGTTGGTAGATAGCTGCTATAAAGCCGTGGTTGGTCATTTCAGACCCAGGTACTAAACCCTGGCCTCTGGAAAAGGAAGGAAATATTAAACACTTTCCTAATGTGTTGGTTTGGTGTATTTTTTCTTTCTAGAAAAGCTCCTGTATTCTTCCCCTCTTGTTATCTCTAGAGTGTCTTTGTGTCATGACACCTGTCACTGCTGTATTTTGAGATTTCTAATGCTTATAATTTAAATTATTGGTAACTAAAAAAGAAAGCTTTTTGGGTTACACTCCAGGGATATTAAATATTAAACTTCAGCCTTTTTGAGAGGTCAGTGAGTAAAGCAGCATCCATCAGTGAATTTTGTGTGCAGCTTTGTTGATTTAGTAGTACTATGCTCATCTCTGGTACTTTCTGCCAGTTGATGTAATTGTTCTTTATAAATTGAATTTAAGCCTCTCTTTTTTTTTTTTTTCTAGTACAGGGAAAATCTGAAGCGCACAATGAAGGGTGTTAGTGCATGGGAATAAACATGAGTTTCCTGAATGTTTTGGTTTTGTCTTTTCCACAGTACCATCTGATCTCTTTCTTAGAGTAAGAAATTGCTCCATTTGCCTTCAGTGATGGGAGCTTTGGTGTTGAACCTCCCTAACTGGGTGCTTTCTAATGTTTTTCAGCAATATTTTATCTTGCTGATCATCACAGATGGAGAGATCACTGATCTGGACCAAACTAGGCAAGCAATTGTTAATGCCTCTAAGCTGCCCATGTCCATCATTATTGTTGGAGTTGGTGAAGCTGATTTCAGAGCTATGGAGTTCCTTGATGGAGACAACGGTGTCCTGAAGTCCCCAACCGGAGAGCCAGCTGCACGAGACATCGTCCAATTCGTGCCTTTCCGACAGTTCAAAAATGTAAGTTGCCTTTAACTTCAGAAGAGTCCTGGTCCCAGTATATATGCAGTTATTTCATCTGAAAAATGAGCATGGGTCTAGGCAAGGCAGCAAGCTGCATGCTCAGAGTGCTGTCCAAGCTGCTTGTTCCCATGGAGAGTTGAGATGTTTGCTTCTGTGTTTGACGCTGTGTGCCTTGTCGCAGCTTTTCTTAAAAAGCTCTTGTTGTGTCATTGATTTAGTATACTATCTCTTGGCTATTGCAGAGTTAAAGGAGATGTTTTCTCTCCTGGAATGAAAATATTTAGGCAAGGAACTGAGATCATATTGTCAGTCTCTGATGTTGAGTCCCATGAGTGATTTAAGCTGAGATAAGTCTTCACTGCTGTTGAAAGCAGTCCTGTCATTCTCCAGCTCCTCCCTACTTCCAATGTTGGCACCAGCATTCATCCACATTGCACAGTGATTTGGGTTTGAAGAGTGGAGTCAAATGAAAACCCAAAATAAGAGAAATTGGTAGTGGCTGGGGCAGTTTCCCACCCAGATCAGGGCCATGTAAAGGCTGTGTGAACCTGGGCTTGAGGTGCGAGCAGTGCACAGGTGGGAACAAGGGATTTTCTGAGACTGACTGGAATTGCTCCTAAAACTGCAGCAAGAACTCTTGAAATGGGGAGTGAGATGTCTCAGGTAGGGGGCTGCACTCTGGATTCTGTAAGAGTTTATCACTGGGCTGATAAATCCTTTCTTGGCAATATTTCTAATTTATTCTCCCTGTTCTCCTTGCAGGCTCCCCGGGAAGCTCTTTCCCAGATGGTTCTGGCTGAAGTGCCCAAGCAGGTGGTGGCGTACTACAAATGGCAGGGATGGCCGCCTGTGAAACCGCCGGAAATAAAGATGATGTAGATTGGAGCCTGACCCTGGCCACCCATATCGCTGGGGTGAAGAGAGCTGTCTGCACCCACACTCTCCCTTGCGCACTGTGGGTGTTTGGTGCCTTGAGGTTGTACCGTTGACACTAATTCTCTTACCTGCTTGTGCTCTGTGTCTTTGATCTTTCCTGTTCCTAATCGGAAGAAATGTAAATATGGAAAAAACACAACTGCTGGCAGTTTTTGTCACAGCAAAATAGACCTGGTTGGTTTTCCACCTTGTGGCAGTGACACGTGATACCATGCATCATTGCTTGACACGGCCCATCCGCTGCTTGGTGTTGGTGTGGGCACACGCACAGAGCTGCTCAGGGAGCACTGCTTCAATGCTGAGCCTGGGAGAGAAGCGTTGCAGTTGTGTTTACTGTGATATAGCGTGTTCCTTGGTAAGTTTTTTCCTTCAATCAAGCTGCCTTGGGAATGGGGACCCTTCTGTACTGGTTGGTACCAAAGTCTGTTGGTTGGATGCCTGAGGTAGTTCCCGTTGTGCCTTCATAAAGTGCCAGTATATTTTTATATGTAGAGGTTTATTTTTAAATTTCAGTGACCATACTTTGCAATCTTTTTTTTTTAATCACGTTTTTCTATTAGCAAAAATTGCTTCTGTGATGGCCTCTTGCTTGGAGCCATTGTTGCAATTTAAGAACACTGCACTTTGCTTATTTATGGGACGATTAATGAGGATTAATCATTAGTTAATTGGGGGGGGTGGATTAATGAGTCACATTAAGGTGACTTTGAAAATTCAGCAACTGGAAACATTGAAATTAAGAAGCTTTGAGCGATTTCTTTGTGTCACAGAAGTTATGAAATGAATCAGTAACTATCTGTGGAACTTCAAGGAGATGCTTCCCTGACCTCAATGTGAAGTGTGTGTTACATGGTCTGGGGACTGTAGGCACGTGATAGCAAAGCACAATTGTTGTGAGGGACCAGAGTTGATAGTTCATTTAAAAATAGAGATAAAGAAACTTGGGCTTGTCATTGCACTACAAGTGGTCATCACTTTCAGTTTCATAAATAAATAATCTGCTTTGATTTACCCTAACTTGTCTGGGCTCTTATTCCCTTCCTAGGCTTTGCCTTTTGCTTTCCAGCAATGTGGATGTTTTGGTTTATGGAAGGTCTTTGCTATAGTACTAGCCTGGTGGTGATGCAGCATCTGAGTTAGCCTACATTGAATGGGATCATTTGCAAAAGCAGAACAAGTTGTCCATCGTCATCAGTTCTGTTACCTGTTAATCGCTAAGACTGCTGAATGTGTATCCTGCAGTAAGATCAGCAGTTTGTTTACTGTGAAATTATGAAAGAACTTGTTGGTTCTACCAGGTAAACCAGGAAATGGTGAGAGTGCATTGGAAGACTGCCCTGGTGACTCAGGCGGTGACACCGGTAGGTTACAAACCTGTGTGAAAGCAGAACCTGGGTTTGAATCCAGATCCTCAAGTAGACTGGTTGTTCTGGATGGTGTCTGCCACCAAACTAGCCCACAGCTTGTGTTTGAAGGGCCATGGGTCTAGGACCACTGCTGAGCAAAGATGAATTTGTGCAAGTTTTTTTTATTCAAACCTAGTTTTGACCACGATGTGTTCTCCCCTGTTTCACAGGCAGCAGACAGCTTCCTCTAGAGACAGCTGGGCTGTCTCTCCTGAAATACTCCCATCATCTAGCCTGCAGCACCCAATTTTCTTGCACTTGCTTAGATTCTTGAAGGAAACCAAACAACCTCTCTTCTTGAGTGGCTGCCTAAACTAAAATGTGTTAGAAGTGTGGGAGAGAGGGAGGAAAACTGCCAAGTCCTCTCTGAGAAGCTGCACTGTGGTTGAGAGCATCCTCTACTGATGTTTTCAGCTGCTTACAACCTGTAGGCAGAGCTCTCCATCCCTGTGTTACACATACAAGCAAACCTAAGGTTGTTGTTTTGTGTATGTGAGTGTATCTTTTTTTTTTCTTTTTCATAAAGTGTTCTTTAAAGGGTGTTTCCAGCAGTAGTTTTGAAGGCTCACCAATGCCCTGTTTGGACCAGGGAATACTGGTGGCAGTGTGTAGTGCTTTGCTTCAGTGAATGGTTTCTTTGGCAAGATGTCAGAAGCACGTTGGGACGTTCCAGCCTTGCGGGGGCAGAAGATGAGCTCTGAGATGGCAGCATGCGTAGTGGGAAACCCATTTTACCTCTCCTTTTTAAACCTCTGCCAGTTCCCACTCAAGAGAGCAAATCCTCCATCTCTCTGCCCTGGCTATGCGGAGTGGAGTCGCTGTCTGCAGCTAGCTGAGGTGTCTCCAGGTGCTGGACTCATAGATGGTAGGAGACACCTACCCTGTTTTGGGGAGGAAGAGGCCAAGACACGGTAGAGGCAGGTCAGAGGAAGTTTTCCCCCCTGTGGGGGCACAGCAGAATGTGGAGGAGATGCTGTTCACCCACTGGTAAGTGGCTGAGATTGAATGAGCAAAGGGGCACGAGTCCCGTGGTTGTCACCTGAGAACAAGAGCTGCACGGATGTGGGCCCAGGGGGGGTCAAGCTGGGAAGCTGCTGAACTGGGACAGCAGAGTTTTGACTGTTTTCTCTCATTGTTGACTCCCCAGGGCTCCTGGTTTTGGAGGCAGTGAAGACGCCTGCTGGGCGCTTTGGGGAGAGGCTGGGAGGTACCTCTCCTCGTGCCTTGTACCGCCCTGGGTGTAGCTGGAATGCGGATTTACAGCATGGTTGTTGCTTTAGGTAGATGAGAGCTCAGGTTTGAGCTCAGGTTTTCCTCCTCGGGAGAACATGCTGTTGTCGCCCAGTGCTGGTGCATGCTCTCCGTCATCCCAATCGCACTCTCACTTTTTCTCCACGGTAAGCACGAGGAATACCCCAGAAGTCTCTTTACCCTGGCCTTGGCCAAGATTGAGCCAAACACCTTGTACCTGTGATCCCCAAAGGTATTTCAGCCTCAGGGCTTTGTATAAATCAAAAGCTATTGCATGTGGGAGCGTTCCCACCTGGCAATAAATAGTGGTGATGTTTCATGCCAGACTATGCCGTGCCACGCCACCTGATGGCTCCCTCCTCTATGAGAGGGATTGCTCCGTCCCCCTTCTTTGCCCAGGCAGCTTGTCAGGCTAAGGGCCCTGCTTGGGGTCTAAAATGTTTGATTCCCCCAGGGACTGTTTCACCAAAACTGAGGCACCATCTTCAGGTGGAAGCAAGCGAGGGGTCTGCTCCAGGTGTTCAAGGAAGCCACACAAACTCCACTGGGAGATGATGGCTTTTGATCAGCTTTGAGCAAATACTTGATCCACCCATCAGCAGCACACTTCGGTGGTCTGAATGTCTCATTAAACAGCCTAAATTGCACCCCTAGCCCCCTTGCAGCCATGACTGGGTGTGGGGTCAGCACACTGAGCTTTCTGTGGTGCCCTAAACGGATTGGCTCTCTCATTTGGGTTCACAAAAGTGGTGCTGAATGCTGCCGGCCTGCTAAGGTTTGTCGCTGCACTGTGAAGTGGCATCCTCCCCTCTGCGGCTTGTTAGCAGTGCCACCGGCGCTGCTTCGTGAGTGCTCCAGGAAGCTCTTGTGTAAGAGGGAGATAAGGGGAATAACTGCAGGGCTTGCTTCGAAGCAGTGTGGCATTGCACAGGCATGATTCACTCCTTGCTGTTTGCAGAGCTGGTTTAGCCACCCTGGTCTGCTGCATGGCACCCTGTACTGTGTGTGTGGATGCTGGTGTTTGGTGCTGGGTGTTGAGGACAGCCGGGACAGCCAGACCCCCAGGAGGAGGAAGAAATGCTTTCCAAACCCTGCTGAGCTCATGACTGTATGACTGCTTTAATCTGGCCTAAATCTGTGATCTGGAAGGGCTCCAGCATCTCTCATTTACCAGTTCTCGTGCAGGTGAGATGAGCTGGATCAGGCCAAGCCAGTGAGTGCAAAGGTGAGCGCAGCTGGCTCCTAGCATGGCATGCCCCAGGTCTGCCTCCTGCACCCTCCTGGCTGTGAGGGGCCGGTGCTGGCCCCTGCGGAGCAGCTGCAGCTCCTACCCTGTCATCCGTGGATTTCGGTGCCTGTGTCTGTCCTGCTGAGAGCTAGTACCTGGGCTGCAGCCTCTGTGCCCAGGAGGTCCTCTGGTGTCCCACCTACACCAGCTTAGCTCCTCTGGTCCCTCGTGTTACCGTGCTCCAGTGTGGGACAGGTGTGAGGTGAGCGGGGGCTGCCCCTCCCAGCATGGGTTCCTGGCATCAGGAGGCCAAACCTTGCTTGTCAGAGGAGGCAGCTCAGCTGCCTTCCCTTCCCCACCCTCCCTCTGTTTGCTTTGTAAGGTTTTAACCACGGAAGCTGTGATTTTGTGCTGGAGAAGCCACAGGGCTGGGAAAGAGCAGAGCTGTGCTCCTGTCCTCGCCAGTCTCCCCCCTAGTCCCGGCTTTGGAAGCCCCTGTCCCCCCAGGGCGTCAGGC